TAAGAAACAATGGTGACATAGCACATCTTATATTTTCCTGGTTAGAGCTGGAACCCATACTACTAAGTGAAGTATCCCAAGAATGGAAAAACAAGCACCACATATACTCACCAGCAAACTGGTATTAACTGAGTAGCACCTAAGTGGACACATAGGTACTACAGTAATAGGGTATTGGGCAGGTGGGAGGGGGGAGGGGGCGGGTATATACATATATAATGAGTGAGATGTGCACCATCTGGGGGATGGTCATGATGGAGACTCAGACTTGTGGGGGGAGGGGGGGAAATGGGCATTTATTGAAACCTTAAAATCTGTACCCCCATAATATGCCGAAATAAAAAATAAAATAAAATAAATTAAATTGCCTGTGTCAAACAGAGGACACTAAAACATGGGCAGGGAGAGAATGTAAAAATAAATAAAAATTTTTTAAAAACCAACAAATTTCTCCGACCTACTGGCCATTTGCACAGTGCCTGGGGGGGGAGCATAAACGGCCCAGGTGTGTCTGTCTAAAGGCGCGAGTGTCTCGATTCAGGGAGGGAGGAGGGGCTGGGTGTGGTGAGAAGGATGTGCAGGTGACAGTCTGAGGATTTCTATTTTTTTATTTTTGTTTTGTTTGGTTTGGTTTTTGAGACAGAGTCTCACTTTGTTGCCCAGGCTAGAGTGAGTGCCGTGGCGTCAGCCTAGCTCACAGCAACCTCAAACTCCTGGGCTCAAGCGATCCTCCTGCCTCAGCCTCCCGAGTAGCTGGGACTACAGGCATGCACCACCATGCCCGGCTAATTTTTTCTATATATTTTTAGTTGGCCAATGAATTTCTTTCTATTTATAGTAGAGACGGGGGTCTGGCTCTTGCTCAGGCTGGTTTCGAACTCCTGACCTCGAGCGATCCGCCCGCCTCGGCCTCCCAGAGTACTGGGGTTACAGGCGTGAGCCACCGTGCCCGGCCAGTCTGAGTATTTCGGAGGGAACTTTTGCAAGAAGGCGACCATTAGAAAGGGTGTGCTGACTTCAGTTTCCCCTCGGTGTGGGGAGTGAAGTGAGAGAGCATGGGTCTCGGAGTCAGACAGACCGGGATTTGTCACTTTACTTCCTTCCAAGGCCGCTGAGAGGATTAAATGAAATAATGTGTGAAAAGTGCGTAACACGCAGACACTGGGCAAATAGTGTTGTTGATAAACTGTGTGTGTGCGTGTGTGTGTGTGTGTGTGTGTTCGTGTGTGAAGTGCCTGACAAGTGGTACACGGTTACTGTCACTACTGCAAAGATGCTGAACACAGAACAGGCCACACACGGGCCGTCTGTACCCCAGAAAATCAGGGGGCAAATGTCAACGGGAGGGTGCGACACTGGGATCCCTCTCACACGGAAAGGCATCGACCTCCCTTGCTCTTCCCTCTACTCCGAGAACCATCACAACGCACATCTCCAAAAATTCTCCCAGGAGGTTAAAAAAAACCTCCAAGATATCCTTTTGCTCCATCTTGGCCAGGCTCCCCAGAAAGTTAACACAACCCAGATGCGCTTACCAGGCTCCAGGGAGGGGGCCCTGGAGCAGCCTCCTGCTCCAGCCCTGGGGGGGATCACGGCAGCAGAGAGCTGCTTTGCAAGTGGCTGGCTGGATTTGAGTCCCAGCTGTGGGGACAGTGCGTGCTAGCCTTTGCAGTGCCTCTCCAGAGCAGAGGGGGCTGGGCACATGATGGCGCACACCTGTGATCCTAACACTCCAGGAGGCTGAGGCAGGAGGATTCACTTGAGCTCAGGAGTTTGAGATCAGCCTGAGCAAGAGTGAGACCCCCATCTCTATTAAAAATAGAAAAATTAGCCAGGCATGATGGCTCACCAGTAATCCCAGCTACTTGGGAGGCTGAGGCAGGAGGATTGCTTGAACCCAGAATTTTGAGGTTTGCAGTGAGCTGTAATGATGCCACTGCACTCCACCCAGGGCAATGGAGCAAGACTCTGTCTCGGAAGGAAAAAAAAAAAAAAATCAGAGGGAGGCCCCTTTATCTCTGCTCGCTGGCATCTGCAGGCCAAAACACACACCACAGTCCAAAGCTGAAAGTCTTTTGTCCACACTGGGCGGTGAAAGGAGCCCTTGCCCTGCCGTGAGAGAGCCTTAATTCAGCCTTTAATTCGCAGCAGGTCACTTCAATCAACAGGCGTCAGGGCAGAGAAGGGGCCTTCAGAAGGAAGAGTATAGCCCCACTGCACCAACCACCGCCTCCACCACTGGCAGGAGGGGCCTGCACCCCTCCCGCCTCTCAGCACCCCTGTCTCCCCCGCCTGTCTGACTCTCTGTCTCCATAACCGGCTTATGTTGGGCAGGGCTAGGATTCTTCTCTTCCCGTAGGCTGTCATGCTATAATATTTGCTCTGCTTCCTTCCTTTTCCAAAGCCTACCAGATTAGATTGCTGGAGTCCCATCCAGCTCACCAAGGCAGATGGGAAACTGAAAGTAAAGCAACCCAAACTGCTCATGGTGGGAAGAGCGAGGAGGCAGGCAACCCAACGCCTCAGCACCCAGATCCTCTTTTCCAAGCTCCAGGTCTATCTCGACCGGAATAAGTGGAGCCACAGCAGTTTCAGTGAATCCGAAGGCCTATTTACTGCACTGTGGTCTACAGCAAGGTCTGATATGAGTCACCCAGCCTTTTAACAGGGGCATCACCCACCTGTCCACCTGCCCCATGGAGAGGCTAGGAAATCAGTGGCGTGCCAGCTGGATGGGTGCACACTCTGAAGACCATGATCCTGCTGCTTGGGTCTTCCTGGCATTCTAGCATTTTCAGCAAACACCTGGCAAGCCCGCAGGAAGGCTCCTCTGGGGCTTCACTGACAGGGCTGACCCATCCCCCCTCCAGCTCTTGCAGAGTCTCTCCACAGGCAGGCACCAACCAAAACCTGCGTGTCTTCAGGATCTACTTTAACCTCTCTGAAACGGCGGGCTGAAAGCAATTCACCTCCCTAGGACGACAGGATGAGAAGTGCAGGCCCTACTTCCTTACACAGAAGAGAGAAGCAAGCACCAATGACAAGGAAAAAAAGGTTTGCAAAAACTCTTCACCAAAGGGCAGGCAGTTTCCAAATCAACACTAAGGTAATTACCCACCTGGGAGGTGAGCAAAGCTCCCATTATCAGCCAGCTGAAACCCCACTAGGAAGGCCACTGACAATTTGTAATAGGGCCAAAGGGCACTCAGGTGTAAAGGTAGCATCCAGACGAACACCTTGTGAACCAGCTTGGTGAACCGATTTTCTACCGCGCCAGATGCTGCTCTTTTCTCTTCCATTTGGGCAAGTGCAGACACGTCATATGCTTGCATTCATTCATTCATTCATTCATTCATTCATTCATTCATTCATGCAACACACATTTACTTAGCACCTGGCAGATGTCATACTGGGCTGGCCACAGAGTCTAGACTACAAGCTGGACCTTCTCTATGGCAAAAGTCATCTGCCTTCAAGCAGCCCATGGTGAAGAAGGCTAATATCTGAAACGAGGGCTGTGCTTTTCAAAGGCCTCCTCTGGTTTCTCCAAACAAGTGGGATCCCCCACTTTGTGTCCCAGATACTACGAACAGCCTGTGTCCTCCACCAAGACTGCAACCAAGCTCCCCAAAGACAGGGGCTGCGGTTTTCGCTTTCATCACTGCCTTGCAGGTCCTTATTACCCAGCAAATGGCAACTGAATGCAACTGAAATGGAAAACAAAAACTTCTATTCTTTCGAGATCTTTTGCTTTACTGTTGCTGAAGTCTTTGCCACCACGGAAAAACAACGAAGGAGGAAGGGGTAAAAAGGGACTTGCTCGGATAGATTAAGTACAGCATCAGTACAATTTTAGGACTTCAGCCCCCTGTGCAACCACCACCCAGTGGTCGGAGGTGCCCCAGCGCCAGAGCGGGCGCCTGGTGCAATGCTCTCCCCTCCCTCCCCTGTGCAAGCCCCATTTGCAGTCGAAGAAGGGAGGCGGGCATAAGAAAGAAGGGGAAGATACATCTTGAACCTCAGCTCACCAAGAAGGAAGGAAGCCTAACCTCTAGGCGCAGGCCTGCGGGGCAGGGCGGCGGGGAGATGGGCCCTGCCGGGGCCCCTCTGGACGTGCAGGGACACTTTTGCTTCCTGCACGGCCTGGCCTCTTTTCCCCCTTTCTTTTCTTTTTTAAGTTCTTTTTTTTTAATTATTATTATTTTGATGAAACAGTCTTCAGGACTGGAGCAAAGAAAAAAAAGGAAGCGTATAAGGTGAGGAAGAAGCTGGAGAGAAAGAGAAAACGCCCCTCCAGCTTACCCCAACCTGGCACCGAACCTGCATTTTAGGGCAGTTTCCTGCCAAGTCACCCCCACTGCCTGGAGCTGCAGAGCCCGAAGGCCTAGGCTGGCCGCGGAGGGAAGGAGGGGGTCTCCCTTGGGGAGCATTCTAGGCCTGCCGAGCATGAGGGCGTGGGGAAGAGAAAGAGTCTCCAAGGGCCCAGTCCGTGCCCACGGACTTGCCTGGGACGCTCCCGGCTGTCCTCCCGCCCCGCAGCCCGGGCAGTCGCTGCGGGCCGGTGCGCAGCGCCGGAGCCCGCACAGAAGTTTCGCCCTCGCCAACGAGAGAAGACGCGGCTCAGCGGAACGCCGCCCCCGCCTCCCGCGCGGCCCCACCCCTCGGCCCGACCGCTGGCGGGGGCCACCTCGGCCACCCCGGCGCTCGGAGGGGCTGCCCTCGGGGGCTCTCCCCTGGGCCTGGGGGGGCGGCCAGGGGCTGCGGCCACCTCCCCTCGCCTGCCACGCGCGGGACAGGCGGATCCAGCCCTGCCGGCGGCCCGGCCCCCGCGGGGCTCCCCGCGCACCCCCGCAGCCCTGCACCCCCGCCTCCGCGCCCCCCCGCGAGCGCCCCGCTCACCCCGCCGCGCAGGGGCCGGCCTCGGGCAGGCGGGTCACATCGGGAGGAGCCGCCTCCCGCCGCTGGGCCCGTGGTCCCGGGTCGCCTGGTCCCGCCGCCAACTCGGGCGCCGCGCTCCTCTCCCGCCCTTCGCCCTCCCGCTCTCCTGCCTCTCGGCCTTTTTTCCGGGTTAATTACGTTTCGCATTAAAGCAAAACCCAGCCCCGGATGTGAGTACAATGCTCCGCGGAGCCCGCCGGGGGAGGAGAGGGGTGCCGGGGCGCCGCGGGCTGGGAGGGGGCGCGGCCGGCCGGCGCCGCGGGCTGCGCGGAGGCGGCGGGGCGGGCGCCGCGGGGGCCGGGACCGCGGGGGCCGCGCAGGTGGGGCGGGCGGCGGACGAGCCCAGGCAGCAGGTGTCCGCGCCGGGGCACCCCAGGAGCGGGGAGGCGAGCCCGAGCGCGGGCTCCCTCTTCAACCCGCTTCTTCCTCCCCGAGCCCCGCCCTGCACCTTCGGCCGGGTCCGAGCCCTCCTCTCCGGGGCTCGGGAGTCGGGGTCAGGGTTAGGGTCGAAGAAGAGAGGACCCTTCCGGGTCGGCGTGCGTGTGCCCCAGGAGCCCCGCGGGCCATGACGCTCTGCCCAGGGTCACGGGGACTCTTTCAGGGCGCGGAGCAAGGACGCCCTGCGCCCCGAGCAGAAGCGCGCCCGGACGGAACGGCAGCCGCCCAGCCGGGGCGAGCGGACCCTGCGGAGGGACTGGGGGGCCTGTGCGAGCGGACCCTGCCGGGGACTGGGGGGGGCGAGGCGAGCGGACCCTGCGGGGGGACTCGGGGGGCCGGGGCGAGCGGACCCTGCCGGGGACTCGGGGGGCCGGGGCGAGCGGACCCTGCCGGGGACTCGGGGGGCCGGGGCGAGCGGACCCTGCCGGGGACTGGGGACCGAGGCGAGCGGACCCTGCCGGGGACTCGGGGGGCCACGCGCGCCGTCTCGTCTCCTCCCCGCGGCAGCCGGTGCGTCTGGGCCCCGTGCAGGGTGAGGAAACCGAGACTCGGAGTCGTTAAGTAATTTGCCCTGGGTCCCCGGTCGGTAAGCGGCAGGTCTGGCAGGTTCCGACGCCGGCCTCCCACGTGGGAGCGAGACGTTTGCATGTGCCCGGAGCCGGGCGGCGCCGCGGGCGGGGCGGTGGGAGCCCGGGAGGCTCCGCGGGGTCCTCGAGGCTCCCCAGGGCCGACCCGATTCGCGGGAGCGAACGGAAAGGCAGGTCCACACCCCAGCGCCGTGGGGAAGGACGGACGGCTACGAGTCCCTGGACCTGAGGCCGCAGCCCTGGCGGGAGAGGGGCGCACCGGGCGGGAGAGGGGCGCACCGGGCGGGAGAGGGGCGCACCGGGCGGGCGGGGCGGGCCCGGCCCTTGGTCGCTGGAGCTGGGCCGGCCGCGCTGCTCTCGGTGTGCCGGACCGTCTGCTTTAGACCGTTTGCTTTGAACTGGGAAGAAAAGGGAGGGGGGGGGCGGAATTCCCTTGAAATGAATACATCAACGTCATTTTTTTTTTTTTTTTGTAGCTTTCTGTTCGTGGAGGTTTTTTGCCACTCATTAAGTTTCAGGCAGCAGAGCCAGTTGAAGAGTGTCTTCCCCGGACCCGAACTGCCCGGATTGGAGCCCTGGCTCTGCCACTGCGGAGCTTTGATCTCTGAGCGCAGACTGTCATTTCGCAGTGCCTCCTCTTTAGGGAGAGTCAGTGACTTACACATTTGTAAACTGCTGTCTGAAGGCGAAGGAAATGCTGCGTAAATGTGTTTAATAATAAAAATTGGACTGTCACTTCTTAGTGTGAAAAGGGACACTGCCCCATCCAGCTCCAGGGGAATCCAACTGGAACGGATGGCTCCCAGCATGAGCAATGAGGTAACAGTGTCGGATTTCATGGTATGGTTCACATTAAAACCCATAAAACTCTACTCCCCGTGGGGCCTGCCTGAATCACTCCATTGCAGAGCAGCAAATATTCTCCGAGCACTACCCTACTGGATACCTCGGAGGCCGCAAAGGTAGGCCGAGGGCCTTGGGTCTCGTTGGGAGAATACAGGTATCACTGGAAGAAGGTTGAGGCAGCCTTCTCCCTTCCGGGAAGGAAGCGCAGTGGCAATGGCCCAGCGAGTTAAGTGCTGTCGTCAGCTTTTAGAAGAGCAAGACGATTGTCTCTGTGTGGGACAAGGTAGGGGGTTCTAAAAAAAGGGGGGGGGGATGGGTTTTAAAATGGCCCTTGGAAGATGGGTACAGTTTGACTCCACTGGGGGGGTGGGGCAGACAAGAACATGTTGGGTAGAGGGGGGGTTGTCAGTGCACTTTAGGGGATGCTCGTACCTCACTGGGACCCCCATTCGCCCCTGGACAGGACTTGGCCCCAGTTAGTCGAAAATTTCTGCACGGATTCCCACTCCCTTAGCCCTGGATTTCCCAGTGCTTCCTCAGAGGACCCCCACCCAACCCCCTCCTCCAGTGAGTACCATGGAGCTCATTTGCCATCTCTTTTTTTGTGTACTTTTTTTTATTGTGACAATACTCATAAATGTCACCATTTTAAATATCTTAAAGTGTATATGCAGTGGCATTTAGTAGATTCATAATGCGCAACTATTACCACTGTCTAGTTCCAAACCATCTTCATCACACGGAAAGGGGACCCCAGACCTATTAAGCAGTCACACCCCATTCCTCTCTTCTCCCCACCCCTGTAACCGCTAACTCGCTTTTCATCTAATTTATGGATTTGCCTACTTTCGATATTTCATGTTAGTAGAACCACACCATATGTTGCTTTTTGTGTCTAGTTTTTACACTTTGTCATCTCTTTGATGTATTTTGTTTTTTTCATTTCGTTATTTTTTTTTTGTCTTCCTTGGAATGCAGCAACACGGACACATTTTGAAAGTACAGTAATTCATTGCCTGACTTTATGCACTAATTTTTTTCAGTCCCCCACTGCTAAATTTGGCTTTAAAATTAAAAATAAATAAATAAAATAAAAGATAAATTTTTTCAGTGCAATAAACAGCACTGACGTCTGAAAACGTGACTCTATTTGAGGGGAAAGGAATGTCCAAAAGAGGCCCCTTCACACCAGCTGTTTCAGTCCCTTCATTATACCAAGGTAAAACAAGGTTCAACAATTTGCTCAAGGTTTCCCAGCTAGTTAGTGGCAGAGTTGGTTCTAGAATCCAGGGTTCACTACCCTTAGAATCTTCTAGTATTGGTATAGAAACCTTTCCATAAAAATGGGGACTTCTGGCTCAGAACCTAAGAATCTAAACAGAAAGCCATATATTCTAGCCATGTATTTATTATGTACTTTCTATTCATTTTCAGTGTTAGTGGCTGGGTAACTAGATGACCTCATAACCCCCAGTGGTGAGCCAGTGTACCCTTTGGGGAACTTATTGTTCTCTGTCCTCATAGATACCCATTATATAAGGCTACAGCTGGGGCCAGTTAGTTCCATCAGGGAAAGTGTGAGACAGAGGAGGCCAAGGTCGTTGGTTTGATCCTGGTTCAGGCCAGTTCATTTTGCTTAGAGAAAGATTGCTCTAAGACCACACACTGCACCCTAATGTTAGCTGGTCATGTTATAAATAGTTGCTATTTGTTTCAGTAGCAAAGTATGAATGGGTAGGCACCATCCATTTCTACAAAGATTTCTCAAACTACCATTGTTCTGTGCAGTCCTGTTCATTCAATAAACGATTATCTCAACCTTTTACCATTTTTCCCTCCCAAATATCTTGCAGTTACTTATTCTCAAGGTACTTACCAAATGCTAACTGCCTTACATGTATTATCTCATTTAAGGCTTCCCAGGACACTAGGAGTGAGACACTATTATCTACCCCATCTAATGGTGATGAGGTAGCTAAGCCCTACAAACCTGGGTACAAACCTAGACAGCCTGAGGCCCACTTTATCTGGAATTCCCAGAGCTACCCTGGTAGATGCAATGTTAGGCCTTGGGAAGGATATAGCAAGCCTCTTTCCCTTCCCCATTTCCAGTATTTATCATCATTTAGAATCTCCATTCCATTTCACTTAGCCATTCCATGTCCACGGATATGTCCTACAGAAAGTTACCTGGATAGGCCGGGCGTGGTGGCTCACGCCTGTAATCCTAGCACTCTGGGAGACCGAGGCAGGCAGATTGCTCGAGGTTAGGAGTTCGAAACCAGCCTGAGCGAGAACCCGTCTCTACTAAAAATAGAAAGAAATTAATTGATCAACTAAAAATATATATACAAAAAAGTTAGCCGGGCATGGTGGCACATGCCTGTAGTCCCAGCTATTCGGGAGGCTGCGGCAGGAGGATCACCTGAGCCCAGGAGATTGAGGTTGCCGTGAGCTAGGCTGACGCCACGGCACTCACTCTAGCCTGGGCAACAGAGTGAGACTCTGTCTCAATAAAAAAAAGAAAAAAGAAATTTACCTGGATATACAAATATAGAGAGATATATGCACACATATTTGAGTATATATTCACTGCAGCATTGCTCACAATGGTGAAAATTGAAAATCACTCTCATGCTCATCGAGAAGGGAATGAACAAACAGATCAATACTGGTACATCCATACAGTCTTATACTATGCCACAGTGAAGGAAAGAATGAGATATCTATGTGAAAACACCAAACGTATTAAGTGCAAAAAAGCACAGAACTATATGTATAGTATAACCCCATGTCTGTAAATAAAATTTTGTTTTCTCACATGTTTTTACATGTAACTTTATTACAAGTAAAAGGCCCAGAAGAATACATTCCAAACTATTAATCATAATTCCCTCAGGGCAGGGGAGGAGGGGTTATAATGGTGATTTCATTTTCTAAGAGATGTATTCTGTAATGTTTAGCTTTTTTTTTCCCCCTGCAACAAGCATGCATGCATTTAGTTATCGAAAAAGAAGAAGGATTTAATGTTTTAATAAAATGTAAAAGTTCTATGAGAAAGAAAAATCATGTGGCAGCCCTCGAGGAGCTCATCCTTTACCGAGGAGGGGTGATATGGCAGGTACAGAAATAAACTATCATAAAAGCCAGAAACTGATACCCGCAGACAGGAGAGTAGAGATCAAATCCTCTGCGGAGATCAGCAACCAGCTGGGGTCGAGAGGTGCAGGAGAAAATGCGTAAAGGAGATGGCGCTTCGGAAGGACCTTGAGGAAAGGTAAAATTTAGAAGGGGTGAGAGTAGGCAGATTCCAGATGAGAAAATTATCACGGGGAAAGTGCAGAGGCAGCAAAGCCTAGATCTGGTCAGGGAAGACTGGCTGCTACGGTCCCGCTGGGGCACGCAGGATATAAGAAGGATTTTCACAGGGGGAACAAAACAGGAAGGAAAGGTAGCTGGAGGGTCTTTCTTGCTAAGCTAAGGAGTCCATGCTTATTATTTTAGGCCTCAAGAGCCACTGAAGGTTTGGGGCAAGGAAGGGACACAATCAGAAGGGAATAGGCAGCAGTTTCATAGCTACGGGCTGCCGGGTAACGACTCCAGCACGGAGCTGCCTGGTTTTGACTCCTGACTGTGTCGCTAATAAACTCAACAGCCAGGGACCAGTTACTTTACTTCTCTGTGCTTCTAGAAAACAGGGGAGGCAGTGATGATAACAGATTACTCTCTCCTACCCTTGCTGTTGGGATTGAGTGAGTTAATGCTTCTCGGGTACATGGTAAATAAATGCTGATGATGTCTGCTAAATTTATGCTTGTCGGGCGGTGCCAAGGCAATTTATGTAACCAAAGTGTTTGTACCCCCATAATACTGGGAAATAAAAAAAAATTTAAGTATCCCTTCTTAACGAGAGATAAACCAATGTAAAGATCTCTTAAATCTCAAAAGTAATAATTTCAAGTGGAAAGTAACATATGCCAACATGGAGTTTGAGCTTTGCTTGTTTCTAAATACATAATATGTTGCTAAGTATCAACAAATATTGAATTGGTTAAAAAAAAATCAGCATCATACTTTTAGATTAAAGTCTTTGTATTTATTTTGAAACTTTTATTACAAGTAGAGCTAATGTTGCATGATAAATCATGGACTCTTTTTTTCCGCCCTCTCAAAGGATTATGGATCCCATTTTACAGATGAAAAAATTCAGGTTTTAAGGAGTGAGATCCCATCTCAGGATCTCAGAGCCAGTCATTATCTGAATCTGTAAGTTCTGAATCCTAGTTCAGTAGATCCCTACCTTGAGAGTAGGAAAAATGAGAAGTGGAAGAAACTTAGGAAATTTCTGTTTATAAAATAAGGGAAACAGCAGTAAGGGACAGTCATAGAGTCAAGTCAAAAAAGATAAGACTTTGGTGGAACACGTGGAAGTTTGTATACAAAATCAAACTTGTGAAATATAAACAGGAGATGTATGTATAAATACACACTCACACTCGTACATACATATGTACACACATATACACACACATGCCAAAATTATTTCCTAGTAACAGAGTTTGGAAAACATTGCTCTACTGCTAAATTTGACACTAATATAAACCGCAAAACTGAATGTGCATCCTGTCCCCAGAAATAACAGTCTCTTGGCCAGATGCACCATTCCTATTGATTCATGCTGATGGCATTGTTTTCCCATCAGTGTGAACAAGCTCAGCACAGCACTAGGCTTCTGTATTCTCAGCAATGCCCTGTGATTCCTCGGGAAGAACTGGGCCTTCCCCGTTCAGGGCAAGAGAGTGAACAGATACCTTAGCTTTGGATCCATGGCCATGTTTTTTGTTTTTTGGTTTTTTTTTTTTCATTTCTTTTTTTTCATGGCCATGTTTTATCACTATATCTGACTTTATTTTTGCTTAGACTAGTTACATAATTCATCACCTCAGCACTGAGCCCACATTCGTAATGTGGGGCTACTATTAGTTAACACTTGTGGGTAAATATAGTCAAAGTCATTAGCAGGGACAAGCTCCATCCAGTTTTATTCCAGGAGTGAAGTGGGTTGACTTTTACATCAGTGATTCTCAACACGAGCTGATTATTACAAAACATGTGAAAAGGATATTTAGATATATGGACTGGCCGGGCGAGGTGGCTCACGCCTGTAATCCCAGCACTCTGGGAGGCTGAGGCAGGCGGATTGTTCGAGGTCAGGAGTTCAAAACCAGCCTGAGCAAGAACAAGACCCCCATCTCTACTATAAATAGAAAGAAATTCATTGGCCAACTAATAAATATAGAAAAAATTAGCCTGGCATGGTGGTGCATGCCTGTAGTCCCAGCTACTCGGGAGGCTGAGGCAGGAGGATCGCTTGAGCCCAGGAGTCTAAGGTTGCTGTGAGCTAGGCTGACACCACGGCACTCACTCTAGCCTGGGCAACAAAGTGAGACCCTGTCTCAAAAAAAAAAAAAAATAGATATATGGACTTATGTCTTTCCATTATTTTGTTAATTAGGAAACATAGGCTACACAGTACAAAGTTCAAAAGGGACAAAGGAATACCAGTAAAAAGCAGAATTTCTTCTACCTATGTCCCTGAAACACACTGTTGTCCTCCCTAGAGACAATCAAAGTGTGTGTTTCATAATCCACACTCAGTTTTGTGAGGACATACCTAAAAATGTCAACACTGATTATCTGAGTGGTGGTTTTATATGCAATTTTTAAAAATCTTTTCTATTTCTGGGTCTTCCAAGTTTTCTCTAATAAGCATTATATCATTTTATGATTAGAGAAAAAAAATGTTTTAAAAGTAAGCAGTTTTTACTATGAAAGTACCTCAGAGATCTCATAGCTGTGTTGTGATTTAACCCTTTGCACTCCGATGTCGAGTGTGGAGTAGATGATGAGAAAAAAAGCAAGTGAGTGCAAAGGGTTAAAAACAACAGCAGTGACATAGAACAAACTTCATCCTCAAGTTAAAAATACTTGCCCAGGCCGGGCGCGGTGGCTCACGCCTGTAATCCTAGCACTTTGGGAGGCCGAGGCGGGCGGATCGCTCAAGGTCAGGAGTTCGAAACCAGCCTGAGCGAGACCCCATCTCTACCAAAAATAGAAAGAAATTAATTGACCAACTAAAAATATATATACAAAAAATTAGCCGGGCATGGTGGCGCATGCCTGTAGTCCCAGCTACTCGGGAGGCTGAGGCAGTAGGATCGCTGAGCCCAGGAGTTTGAGGTTGCTGTGAGCTAGGCTGACGCCACGGCACTCACTCTAGCCTGGGCAACAAAGTGAGACTCTGTCTCAAAAAAAAAAAAAAAAAAAAATACTTGCCTGCCAATATCTAGATGCATTTTTTTTTTAATTTTAGCCAATTTTTGCCTCCACTCACATTAAAAACTCCTGCCACTAGAAAAGATATGCAAAACCTGGTTAGCAGCTTGAACTGTGAGTCCTAGTGAAACTCAGTATGAGTCGCTGGAGGCAGGTAATTTTCAATGACTCCACACGTCCATCAGACTATGTTGAAATTAAGTGTAGCATGAGGCTGGAGAGTTAAGCCCCGTCCAGCTTAACTCCTTTGTTTAGCAATTAAACAACAACAAACTAAATTTGTCCTTTTACCTAAATAATGAGGCTGGGGCTGTTCTAATTGGGTAAATGGCCAAATGCACCCTTCAGCGTCTGAATTTGTCACAGTCCTGGCTTGTGGAAAACTCACATAAAGGAACATGGTGGCCCTTCTGGCAACTTCCATCTCTGGACCAGAACTAACTCAGAAGGCGGAAAGAGACCGGCCTCTACGTAGCTATCCAAAGTCCTGGCAAGCCTTTTGGTAGGCTTGCTGGATTCTGATTGAACACCTAATTCAAAAGGCCCAGTGATATGGTTTCCTGGCCCTCAGCAGAAACCTCAGGAGAACAGAGAGCCAGTGGGCATGGGAGGAGAAGGTGTGGAGGCTTGGTCCTAGGTCCATAAACGGAGTAGCTGACAGGAGCCCAGGAGGAAGAAGAAGGGTTAACCATCGTTCCCACAGGTGAGGCACTCTCAAGACCACCTTCGTCATCCCTGGTGATGACCTTGGAGTAGGAAGGCTTTGTGATTTACTCCTGCCTTTTATATTTTTAAAATATTTTATCATATGATAACACCTGTATCTTTTTCTTAATAAAAATGTTTCTACTTAATGTTCACAAGAAAGACTTTTCAAATAAAAAGCTCGTGAGGACTGCATAAATTACAAATATTGTACTGCAGTGAGAAAAATCACAGTGAGGTACCGCTATATACCTATCAGTCTGGCCAAAATAAAGAAGAGTGACAATACCATATGCTGGTGAGGATGCAGAGAAATCAGATCACAGTGCCTTGTTGGTGGGAATGGAAAATGGGGTACAGCCCCTCCGGGAAAACGGTTCGGCAGTTTCTTAAAAAGACTAAGCATGGAACGATCATAGGAGCCCACAGTTGCACTCCTGGGCATTTATCCCAGAGAAATGAGGCCTCGTGATTTTTCCACAAAAGTCTATACATGGCCGGGCGCTGTGGCTCACGCCTGTAATCCTAGCTCTTGGGAGGCCGAGGCGGGCGGATTGCTCAAGGTCAGGAGTTCAAAACCAGCCTGAGCAAGAGCGAGACCCCGTCTCTACTATAAATAGAAAGAAATTAGTTGGCCAACTGATATATATATAAAAAATTAGCCGGGCATGGTGGCGCATGCCTGTAGTCCCAGCTACCCGGGAGGCTGAGGCAGAAGGATCACTCGAGCCCAGGAGTTTGAGGTTGCTGTGAGCTAGGCTGACGCCATGGCACTCACTCTAGCCTGGGCAACAAAGCGAGACTCTGTCTCAAAAAAAAAAAAAAAAAAAAAAAAAAAGTCTATACATGAATGTTTATAGCAGCTTTATTCATAATAGCCCCAAACTGGAAACAACCCAGATGTCCTTTAACTGGTGAACAGTTAGACCAAATGTGGTATATCCGTAGTGGAATACTATTCAGCAATGAAAAGGAATGATCTATTGATATGCACAACACCGGCATGAATCTTCAGAGAATTATGCTGAGTGAAAAAGGCCAATCAAAAGACTACATACTGTGTGATTCTATCTATATAACATTTTGAAATAATAAAATCATAGAAATGGTGAACAGATTAGCAGTTGCCAAGGGTTAAGAAGGGGCTGTGCTATAAAAGGGCCACGCGGGGATCTTTGTGCCGATAGAAAAGTTCTGTATCTTGGCTGTGTCAGTGTCAATATCCTGACTCTGATATCTTACCTTGGTTCACAAGATGCTACCATTGCGGGAAACTGGGCAAATCTATTTACACAGAATCTCTCAATTGTTTCTTACAATTGCGTGTGAACCTACACTTACCTTCCAATAAAAAGTTTAAATAAAGACCGACTTTTAAGGCTAAAGAAAATACCATGAGTGTTTTGTGCTTAAATAAGTTTTCTATTTTTAAAAGACCACTTACGGCGAAACATATATCCCTCCTGACCCTGGAATAACTGAGGCATCACTACTTATAAACTACAAAGACTGATTAAGCCCAGTTTCACACATTGTGGCCAGCGATCCTTAAACTGTGGGGAACTAACATTTAGTTTTTAGTTCTCACATTAAGAGCAGTGCTTCATTCCTCTCCCACCTCAGCTGCCACGATCCCTGGCGCATAGCTGCCCTGTTGGCATTTCCTCTGCCCATTTCCATCTGGGCATATGTTGCTTCCATCCTCTCTGCCTCACTTAAAAAGAAAGTTTCAATACTTGGAGAAACTCCACCAGAACCTTACCTTGTACTTGAGAAAGTCACTCTTCCATGACAAGGGGCACATCAGGGTTGGTTAGATCATTTGTTTGTTTGTTTGTTTTTTTTTGAGACAGAGTCTCGCTTTGTTGCCCAGGCTAGAGTGAGTGCCTTGGCGTCAGCCTAGCTCACAGCAACCTCAAACTCCTGGGCTCAAGCGATCCTCCTGCCTCAGCCTCCCGAGTAGCTGGGACTACAGGCATGCGCCACCATGCCCGGCTAATTTTTCTCTATATATTAGTTGGCCAATTAATTTCTTTCTATTTATATAGTTGAGACGGGGTCTCGCTCTTGCTCAGGCTGGGTTTCGAACTCCTGACCTCGAGCAATCCGCCCACCTCGGCCTCCCAGAGTGCTAGGATTACAGGCGTGAGCCACCGCACACGGCCGGTTAGATAGTTTTAATTAGCATAAGACTCTGCTGTGGCTGTCCCCTACATTCAGAAGGTGGCAAGCAAGCGTTACAGGAGAAGTCCGTTAGAATGCAGCTTGTAATTTTGTGTCTCTGAGTACACAGTGAGTCAAATCATGGCCACTGAAATGTAACTGCATATTCTTAGATTGGTTCGGCCATGAGGACGAGAGGCTTCTTCATTTCTGCTTTCACCAGCGGAAGCCCTGGCACTGTGAGCCTGTAACTACCACCCAGTCCGGACAAGATGGTGGCACGGTAAGGTACAAGGACCTTTGCACTAGGGATTATCTGGAATTGTAGGCACAGAGATGCCTGCAATTTCTCTTGTTCAAAAGGTCGTCAAGAATCTGGAAATAGAAGTACTGTGTTATGAGCAGGAATGTCAGTAAGAGAATGGTAGAAGGCAGCAGCCTTCAAATTTTTCCTTACCTACATACCTCCTCTAAAAAAAATGCTGAAAAAAGGATGAATCCCTTCGCACAATTTTAAGGTGACATCTGCGACTTTTAACAGAGGTTTAGGTGGTCACACAGGATGTATTCTGCAGATTGTTAGCATGGGATGTTTTAACATAAGACTGTTACATCGCCCTTTTAACCGTATCCGATAGAATCTAAATACCTAGTAATTTGACACCAGCATTCATTTTTAAAAATGAACAAGCAGTACTTTGACAGTCAGAAATGTTAAATCATTCCCTTCCTCCTTGAACTATATCTTCATCCTATTTCCCCTAAAGAATTGTATTCAAATGTCAGATATTTTTATGCTTGAACATCTTTTGTTGATTGCCCTATTTTCTGCAACAAAAATGCATATGTAAATTGATTTTTAATAATTTTAAAAAATACCCTCTGACCATAAGGATCAAAGTGTTAAAACATTTTTTTTTTGAGATTAAGTCATGGTTACGATCATTAACATTATTAGTAAGAAGAATACATGTTTTATTGATCTGATCCTTAAAATGGTAAAACAGCATTGGAAATGATTCTCTTAATGAGGATGGATTTTTAAATATACATGTTTTATATGTTTACATACATATATATACACAATAAGTTTTAAGTGTCCATCAATTAATATTACTTATTGCAAGAATGAGCCGGGCTTAGCATCAACATAATCCCTAATCTCTCATTTTTATAGGCATAAGCTCTGAGAAATCTTTTCTTTTTTTTTCACTTTTTTCTTATTTCTTATTCAGGGGAAGCAGTTTGTACGCTCCGAGAAATCTTGCTCACATTAGTAAGCGATGGGGTTGGAAGGACTTTTGTTATGAAGTGCCTAGGGCTGAGGAGAGGGAAGGAAAACTGGAACATAAATAACCCAGGCCATGGCTTCAGAAGGGGACCCAGAATGACTAACTTGCCTGTGCACATCCACCCTCTGTGAAGACCTCCAGCCAGGCCCCCTTTCCACGGACCCGACCCCCGAGCTCCAGCAGGGCTGTATTTGGCAGCGTCCTTCAGTTCTTCACAGATCTTCCTCCAAAATTCTTCTGTGGGGAGGCTCTGTGTGCGTGAGGGCAGGGGTTATACAGGAACTCTATCTCCCACTCGATTGTGCTGTGAACCCAAAACTGCTCTAAAATATAAAGTTTATTTTAAAAGCAACAAATTATTCTAGTGATCAGTCTATTGGTAGGACAACTCGATTAGGTTTTTTTCCCCCAAGTTTCATGGGCTGCCATAAATTGGAAACCACTGAACTTATGAAATGATTTCTGTCTCGGTTATAAAAGGCTTTTGGTGTCTCAGCATAAACATAGATATTTCTAATTGTCCCTCATCTTGGCCCTGGAGGTTTTTACAACCCAGGGTAATGCCTTTCTTCCCTTTTTTATTTTTTAATTTTTTTTTTTTTGAGACAGAGTCTCACTTTGTTGCCCAGGCTAGAGTGAGTGCCCTGGCGTCAGCCTAGCTCACAGCAACCTCAAACTCCTGGGCTCAAGCGATCCTCCTGCCTCAGCCTCCCGAGTAGCTGGGACTACAGGCATGCGCCACCATGCCCGGCTAATTTTTTTTCTCTATATATTAGTTGGCCAATTAATTTCTTTCTAATTTTAGTAGAGACGGGGTCTCACTCTTGCTCAGGCTGGTTTTGAACTCCTGACCTCCAGCAATCTGGCCACTGCACCCAGCCTCTTCCCTTTTTTAGAAGTAAGAGAGGGCCAGTGGGAAGAGAGGTGGGAAGATAGAGGCCCCGTGAGGAGGAACGGGCCTCACTCTGTCTCCGCAGGTCGGAACACTGACTGCCTTAGACCCTTTGCCCTCTGGGTCCCTGGCATCTAAGCACCACTGGGAGAGGGGATACAAGAACTGCCTCGAATGCACGCAATTGTCATGTCAGATTTTTATTAATTTGTTGCTGGTCTGAAATTCAAATTTAACTGGTGTTGGTATCTACCTGGCAACGCTATGTAATCCAGCCATTCCTCTGAAGAGTTGAGAAAACTGAGACCTAGAAAGAGTGAAGCACTTGCCCAAGGTCATGGTCTCTGGCTACCTCACTCTCCAATGCATTTGTTGCTTTCTCGCCTCTCAAGACCCATTTCTACCCTCCCCACACCTCATTTTTTCCCACCCTTCTTACCCGAAGCAAAAATGTAAGCAGAACAGTCACAAAAATGACAACACGCATGGAAGGAGGGAAGCTTTTGGAGGAAACCAGAGAGGAGCAGAGAGTGTGGGCAAAACCCCTCTGCCCATCATCCCACGAAGAGAGGTTAAAAAATGGGATGGGAGCAGCTTCCTTCCAGAGCAGAAACTAAATTTAGATGAAATTTGTGAATATTCTCCTTTACAGTCCAGTCTGTACACACATAACAACAACAACAAAATCCTTCGTGTCCAACCACATTTCTCATGCCATTTGGTGCTCTCCTGAGTGTCCCTCAGGAGAGACACCGACCAATGGGAGCATTTTTCCTCCCCCTTCCTTCCGTTCCTATCCACTGCTGCCCTCTCTCACTCCCCTCTCCTCTCCCAGGCACCAAAAATAATTTGAATTTCAAGCCTTTTTTTGGCCTTCCTGTGGGTGTGGGAGGGACCTCCTTTGGGAATTGTTCTGGTTCAAGTCGGCTCCATCTGTAATTTGGCAAAATCTCTGTCTGCACCCCGCCCCCACCTCCTTTTCTGAAAATGAGGGGAGTTCAGATTCCCTCCACCCCGAAGGACCTGGTCCACCCAGTTCTTAGGCTAACCAAAGTGACAAGAGCCGCCCAAGGAGCCCCCCACTCCCCCCCCCCGTGGGCCTGCAGCCCCTCCACTTACCCGCCTCTGGTTTTGGAGAACAAGGACCCTCTGCACAAGGGAGGCAGCTGATCCCTAGCCAGGGGAAAGCACCTCCAGCAGGCCACAGCTTGGAGGGACAGGTGATTGCGAAAAAGGGGAAGGCAAGGGCTGTGCCCTTCAGTGCAGGAGACCCAAGGCAAGTAGTTCCTATTTCAAAAAAAAGAGTTTTAAAACCTGATTAAGGGCCGGGCGCGCGGTGGCTCACGCCTGTAATCCTAGCACTTTGGGAGTCCGAGGCGAGCGGATTGCTCCAGGTCAGGAGTTCGAAACCAGCCTGAGCAAGATCGAGACCCCCATCTCTACTATAAATAGAAAGAAATTAATTGGCCAACTAAAAATATATAGAAAAAATTAGCCGGGCATGGTGGCGCATGCCTGTCGTCCCAGCTACTCGGGAGGCTGAGGCAGGAGGATCGCTTAGGAGCAGGAGGATCGCTTGAGCCCAGGAGTCTGAGGTTGCTGTGAGTTAGGCTGACGCCACGCACTCACTCTAGCCTGGGCAACAAAGTGAGACTCTGTCTCAAAAAAAAAAAAAAAAAAAACCTGATTAAGTTTATCGAGGTGTGTGTGTGTGTGTGTGTGTGTGTGTGTGTGTGTGTGTGTGTGTTTGCCTCTCCCAGTTCACCCATGTGATGTTCCTGGGGCCCTCTGGGGTGGGGGTGGGGCGGCCAGCGACCTTCCTGTCTGAAAACTATCTCCAGACCTAAGCACCACCTCGCCTGCGCACTTCCACCCTGTCTTCACAGCCATTCCTTAGCCAGCCTCTAGAGACCGTTACTCGTTTGTCATTGACAAGAAAAAGGAAAGGGGCAAAAATGAGAATGAGAAGAGAGAGTGACCATCTAAGAGTTTTCTGTGGTTTGGGACAGTTTTATTTGTCTTCTTAAGGTCTTAAAGGTTTCTCTTTGACAAGATGCTATCTTACAGTACATAAAAAATTACTCTGAAAATACAAACGGCTCCATTTACAAGACGCTGAATCAACATATTACAAGAAGAATTATGTGGGCATGGACATTAATCCACTGAGCATGCCTTCATGAAACTAAAAAAAAAATATTAAGAAACGGAAAAAAGCAGTGTAAAGAAAAGATGACTCTATTTAAATAAAAAACACAGAAAGGTCCTGAGCCAATTAGCGGTTGGTAACAATGGCATTCAAAAATGCCTTTAGGTCTCAATAAAATCCATGGCTTATTTCTGCCTGCCTTTCGAGAAACTGTTTGAAACTGTTTTGAAGTTGCCGGGTGAAATAATTGTCGGGAGTTATCATGCTGAGTTAATTTTACACCTCAAAATATACAAGTTGGCCATATTTAAAGGTACCTTATAGTTGATGGGGGAAGGAATTGCTCCTCGGTAAAAACCACCAGTCAATGAACAATGGCATGAGATAGGGTTTGTGACAATTTCACCATTCATATGCTACCTTTCAGTATCCCGGTTGTATTTAATTTTTAACAAAGATGCATTTCAAAGGCCTCCATGGGAGGCAAAATATAGAGAATTTATGGTGCCCTGGGACAATTTGAGTTCAAGGTTTTCATGACTATTTTTCCCCTTGTCATTTCCACGCTGAAGGCAGTGCTCACAAAAGTTGTGTGTGTGTGTGTTTTTTTTGGTTTTTTTTTTTTTGAGACAGAGTCTCACTTTGTTGCCCAGGCTAGAGTGAGTGCCGTGGCGTCAGCCTAGCTCACAGCAACCTCAAACTCCTGGGCTCAAGCGATCCTCCTGCCTCAGCCTCCCGAGTAGCTGGGACTACAGGCATGCGCCACCATGCCCGGCTAATTTTTTCTATATATTTTAGTTGGCCAATTAATTTGTTTCTATTTATAGTAGAGATGGGGTCTGGCTCTTGCTCAGGCTGGTCTTGAACTCCTGACCTCGAGCAATCCACCCGCCTTGGCCTCCCAGAGTGCTGGGATTACAGGCGTGAGCCACCACACCTGGCCCACAAAAGTTATTGATTACCTGAGGGTGGAGCTTCCTTCCTCTGCTCCTGCACGAGGGCCTCATCCCAGGTTTCGGAGACAGGAGGAAGGAGATAAAAAGGGGTGTTGTCCGAGGATGAGGAGCCCGTCTCAGGCAGGATCTTCTGTGACGGCCGTTCCACAGCGACTGTGGATGCCCAAGCCCAGGAAGGGGTCCCTTTGGGGGGACCAAAGATGCACCTAAGGAAGTCTCGCCTCTGTTTTCATAGTGCTTGTACATTCCTCTATTGGGGCGGTTTCCTTATATCAAAATGGGCGTAATGATGCCTAGCACACTACATTATTGCAGGACATAAATAAAAGTGCCTAAGATAGTGCCTGACATACAGTAGACACTAAATTACTGTTTATGGAGCATGAAGTGCACTTATCACACTGCATTTTGTACTTGATCACCTGTTTCTCTTCCCCACTGGACTCTGAACATCTTCCTCATTTTTATAACCCCTTTGCCTAGGACAGTGCCTGGAAGGTGGCAGGCACTCAATACCTGTTTATTGAGTTAATTCATCAGTTGACTGGTACTTGGTCCAGCCCTCACCCGGGCTCCATTTCCCTTGCTGGTCTTTGCCCTCTCTCACTATGTTCCCTGGACCAAGGTTCTGGAACTCAAACTCTGAACAAAAAGTTACCAGACCTGAATCGAATGAAACGCCAAGACTCCACTCCCTAGAAATACTGAAGGGTTTTCTCAGCAAGTGCATACGGGGAAGAGACGGGGGAGACAGACCCTGAGGGTTGCTGGCATTGCTGAGTCTACCGCAGAAACGCGACACGTTCAGATTAAAGCCAGAGTCCTGGGTGCTGACGGGGCTCAGAAAACAGCACCCCAAATGAAGGCCTCAGAAGCCAAAGTTTTTCTCTGACCTTCTGTTCTTTTGCCTATCGGTCCCAATCTCTCCTGAGGCTAACTAGAAACTAGAATCCTTCCTCCCCAAGGCGGGTCATAAAGTCCTCTTTTCTCCTCAAAGCCAGCCATAAAACCTAAAATTATTCTGTGTAAATACTGGCCATAAAGAAATTATCTGGGCCAGGCGAGGTGGCTCACGCCTGTCATCCTAGCACTCTGGGAGGCCGAGGCAGGCGGATCGCTCCAGGTCAGTTCGAAACCAGCCTGGGCAAGAGTGAGACCTCGTCTCTACCATAAATAGAAAGAAATTAATTGGCCAACTAAAACATATAGAAAAAATTAGCCGGGCATGGTGGTGCATGCCTATAGTCCCAGCTACTCTGGAGTCTGAGGCAGAAGGATTGCTTGAGCCCAGGAGTTTGAGGTTGCTGTGAGCTAGGCTGACGCCACGGCACTCACTCTAGCCTGGGCAACAAAGCGGGACTCTGTCTCAAAAAAATATAAAAAAAATTATCTGACCTGCCTTGTTTGACTGTAGGTCCCAAGACGCCCCCCATCCCAGAGAGGGTCCTGCCCCACACCCAGAAGGAAGGATGGTGCTCAGAGAGGCCAAGAAGAATCTGGACAGACAGGCCTGGCTGGGCTTCCCCACTCAGTCTATTAACATCAGATCATACCCTTTTGTCCAATCATATTTCTACACGGCT